GATGGGAAACCCGTGGGGATTACAATTGAGATGAAAAAAAATGTGAAAAATGATGTAAAAATAAACTTTTTAATAAAAAAAAAAAAAGTTGTTAGCTACTAGTGCTTATACCCAAGTAAATTACTGTACTAAGAAATTTTAAATATATTATCTCAAACTTTAAAACTACCTAAGAGATACTGTTTCACTGCAGCTCAAAAAATATTCTCCAGAATAAACAGATAAATTAAATCTGGGCCATGGTGACTTGAAGGCAGAGTAGGGAACTGCATACCCATGTGTCTGACTCTAAAGCCTCACCTCTGGGAAGAAGAGTATTTCCTCACCTCTGTGTCTTGTCTAGGAGGTGGGAGGGTGTAACTTTTGGATCTCTCATGCACATTTCTTGTTCAGGGTATTGGTGTTTTGACCACTCACCTCTAGCCCACTTTTCACATCTGATTGCACATGCTTTTACTACTTATCACTTTTAATATATAGAAGAACATATCTAGACATGAGATACACAGAAATGATTAAGAGTCACTGGATTAGCTATCCAATATGCTGTCTAGTGAAGTTAAAACAATATGGCAAGCTCTTTGATGAAATTTTGGAAAATAAAAGGAAAAATTCGAAAGATTATCTCCTCTTAGTTGGTGATACAGAGGATTACCTACCAATAACAATGCCACCAATGGCTCCAGCGTTCTGGATGTTTCGTGCTTTTTCTGCAAACATGCACTGTCCTCTTTGTATCAAAGCAATTTTCCCCATGACCGCCTCAGGGTTAGTAAGCTCTGAACAACCATTGTATGGTTTACTGCTTGCAACAAATCCTCTTGTCTGTCAGAAAAAGAGTAACTTAAATTTTTTTTTAGTTTTTTTCATTATCTAGTTAATAAAATTTAATATCTAGAGTTTTTACATGATCTCATTTCTTTTCTAATGATGACATATCCAATATATGTCTAGCATACATCATAGCACCCAATCAATTATGTTTTGCCAAAAAAAAAAACAAATTTATATGAAAAAAGGTATTCTTATTTTGTTTGTGGCTTATGAAGTATTTTTACATCCTTACTAATCTTTATAAGGCTAGGCAAAATAATATTTTCTATTTTACATATCAAATCAGGTTGCATAATTTTCTCAAAGACACTACTCAATTAGAAAAGAGACTAAGAAATCAGAAGATACAAAAAAATATTTTCAATTCAACAAAACATTTCAAGTATACACACCTCTTTGTGCTTTGACAGATCCAGCCCAAATTGAGCTGGTCCAGCAGTCAACACTACCCTGCCAAAAAATGGGTGGGAAACAATTTGTACAGCTCGTGGAGGCAGCTGCTGTTCTTTTTGTTGCTGACTTGACAATTCAATCATCTCCTGCATGAACCTCAACCCATCTTCTGCATCAATTGAACTAGCAGCCTAGGAAAGAAACAGATCAACTTTACCCCCTTTTCCCTGGAAAATTTCAACTCTTTTTAATTTCTTACATACTACTGCACTGCAGTCTTTTATTCTAAAATTTCTTTTTACAGGGGATTAAAAGTATGTCAGAAGGAGAAAGACAAATGATTTTACTCCTACGTGGAATTACAGAAAAAACAAAAGCAAAAAGGAGCTGACAAAAGTAAAAACAAATATGATTATGAAAGAATGGCAGTATGAACACAGAATTAAGGCTACTAGAGGATATGGAGGATAAGGGCGGGGTCAAGAGGGGAAAGGGACCCTGTGGCTTATGAGAAAGGACCAGCGAGCTTTAATGGTAGGGTGGTGTGTTCACATATACCTAAAGAAGTGTGAACTTATTCCCCTAAATCATATACAGTGATGTAAATGAATATCACCTCAACAAAGAAAAAATAAAGTCCCAAGACCATAACAGACCATAATTTGTCAAGTATACCCAAGAAATCTTGCTATGCTAGACAGTCTTTAAAATAAGCTTCCCTCCCCCTAAAATTTTCCTTTCAAGTCCAGGCCCCTGACAAATAATTGTAAGCCTATTTGTCCTTAAAAATATTAGTTACAGAAGTGCATTTTTCTGACAATAACTTAGATCTACATGTTTCTTTCATTGTTCTATAACCACTTTTGATGCAAATTGAGAACTGGACTTTCTCAATGCTCACTTTGCTTATTTTCCCCATTTAAGAAATAAACTTCAAACCTGACTCATTTGCTTCCTTACTGAAGCTATTCTACTTGAGCACACTAGAAAAAAAGGTGAATTCCTAGCACCTGACATGAAAAGTCAACAATACTTGATGAGAGTTAAAAAATGGAGAGAAAAGAGTTGGGAGAGACAAGTTCAATCTTCTGAGACATTTAGCTTTTGTGACATAGGGAGTGCTGATGGGTTTATGCAATGGAGGACAAAAAACAAACAAACAAACAAAAACACAAGAAATGAATCAAAGTAGGGGAAGGAGGAGAGAACTCAGGTTTGACTAGATTGAGATTTATAAATGTACGCCAGGTGGATGAAAAGCTGGGTTTGAGGGTGATGCCAGGAGCCAGGGTAATACATATGTATCTAAGCAATCACAAACATGAGAGCTGAGCACTTGTAGCAACATGGGAGACTGCTGAAGGAGAGTAGAGGGGAACAAGGGCATGATCAGATTCTTCAGTAGTGCCAACATGAGTGGTTGTGCAGGAAAGCTACAAAAGAATCGACACAACAAGGAACAAAAAGAGGAGGTTATGATGTTGAAATGCACAAGAAAAGGATGTGTTTTTAAAATGGTCAACAGAGAAAATTTATTCACATGAGGATGAAGAGACACTGGGTGGCGATTATGTCACTGGTGACACAATGTGAAGGCAGTGTCATTAGAGATGTCATTCCCACTAATGGAAGTGAGGTAAGTTACAGGTGGGGAAGCAGGCAGGATCCTTTAAGGAGGGATGTGGCAAGAATATAAACCAGACAGAAATCGCGGGAAGGGGAGGCTATGAGAAGGTTGAGTTGAGCTTAAGGGATATCTGAATAGGGTTCTAGGTCAAAATTATTTAGCATACTCTGTATGTAGTTCTCTCCGAATCAATGTGCTAATGAGGTGAATAATTTAAAGGCCTCATGTTATAAAAGCTTTTAAAAGTAAATATCAATAAAATTTTCTGAAAAAGCCACTTATCTTCCCTAAACAAAGAAATGCAAATTTTTATTTTCTATATTTTTTCAGATAATAACCACTGCATCTTTTTAAAAATTGCTTATTGAAGTAACACTGAGTTTTAACATTATTTAAGTTTCAAGTGTGCATCATTATAAATTAATTATTTGCATACATTAAAGTTCACCACTAAAAGTTCAAGTCTATCCTCATAGTACAACTGACCTCTTTTACTCCATTTTCCTACCTCCTTTCTTTCGTCCTTCGGGTGAACTAATGTAGCCTTATAGGCTATGTATTTATTTTTACTTACCCAGTTCATTTGTTTTGTTCTTTTGTTCTTTTTATACCCCAAATGAGTGAAATCACTCATTTGTCTCTATCTTATTTCACTAAGCATAATACCCAAGGATCCATTTATGACACAGAATTTTAGCTGGCTGGTCCATTTTTTAAGGACAAGCTTTTTTCTTTGATATGGATCAGTTTTATCTTACTTATCATAAGTTAGCTTACCCATGCCTTTCAGATCTTTATTATTTTCCCTGAGGAGCAGTTTCTTTGCACTTACTGAGTCTGAATCTATGTAACTGACATAAAAGAATTTCTTTACTTTTTTTAAGTATGAGAAGGTTCTAGTTGTTGGTGGTAGTTCTATATGACTCTCTTCATGTAAATCAAATTTTAATTTTTATGGTGAATAAAATACATAGGATCAGTAGTTTTATGGAAACTAAAATACTACAAAATATAGAGCTATAAATATTAATATTGACTACTAGCTTTTAAGATTATACTCTAAAAATAAAATAGTAGAAAATAAAATGACTGAGAAACAAAAAACTAGCATATGAGTAAGTCCTATATTTGACTGTTTAAACGTAAGCAAATTAGCCGACCTAGCTGTAATTTTATTTATACAAACATCACTTTGCTTTATTGCACTTTAGAAAAAATTCCATTTTTTACAAAGTAAAGGCTATGGCAATCTCGTACCTTACACCATCTGTCAATCCATGTGCTCACTTTGTGTGTCTGTGTTATTTTGCTAATTCTCACAATACTTTTAATTTTTCATTATTATTATTATTATATCTGCTGTAGTGATCTGTAGTCAGAGACTTTTGATGTTAATATCTGCACAAACTGCACCCACACAGGCGAACTTTATCCATAACTGTGTGTGTTCCAACGGTTCCACCTACCAGCCATTCCCCTAACTATCCTCCTTACCTGTGGCCTACTTCAAAACAATACTGAAATTAGGCTAATTTAATAACTGTAAAAATGGTCTCTGAGTGTTCAAGACAAAGGAAGAGTTGCAAGGCTGTCAGTTTAAATCAAAAGCCAGAAAGGATCGACTTTGGTAGGAAAGCATGTTGAAGACCCTGACAGGCTGAAAGGTATATCTCTGTGCAATCAGCCATGTTGTGAATGTGAAAGAAAAGTTCTTGATGAAAATTACAAGTGCTACTATAATGCACACATGATGAAGAAAGAGAAACGGCTTTACTGCTGATACAGAGTAAGTTTTCGTGATCTGGATAGAAAATAAAAACTGTCACCGTAAGCCAAAATCTAATTCAGACCATGACTCTAATCCTCCATTAGAGAGGATTAGGTTGAGAGAGGTGAGGAAGCTGAAGGAAGGTCTGAAGCTAACAGAGGGTGGTGCATGAGTCTAAAGAAAGGAGCCATCTCTATAAAACAAAAGTACAAAGTGAAGCATCAAGTGCTGACATAGAAGCTGTAGCAAGTTATTCAGAGGATGTAGCTAAGATTACTGATAAAGGTGGCTACATTAAACATCGGATTTTTTAGTGTAGATGAAATAACCTTTTATTTAAAATTACAGGTACAGACAAGTCTGTAATGCATGGCTTTAAAGAACAAGCTGACACTTTTGTTAGAGGTTATTCAATTAACTCTCAGTGGTAGCTAGTGCTCACTTACCATTCCCAGGACACTTAAAAAATATGCTAAATTTACCCTGCTTATGATCTATAAATGGGACAGCAAAGTCTGAGTGACAGCACAACTGTTTACTACAATTCTGTTTACTGAATATTAAAGATTTATTGTTGAGACCTCATGCTCATTAAAAAAATCCCTTTCAAATGTTAATCCTCACAGGAAATGTTCCTGATCACCTAAGAGCTCCACTGGATACAGTGACGAGATGGATGTTATTTAAATACCTGTTAACACAACACCCATTCTGCAGCCAATAAAGGAATCATTAAGACTTTCAAATCTTATTACTTTAAAAATGTCTCAAATATAGCTGCCACACATAGTGATCCTTCTGATGGACTTAGACAAAGTCCAATGAAAACCTTTTGGAAATGATTCACCATTCCAGAAGCCTTTAAGAACATTAGCGACTCATTAGAAGCAGGGCAAATTATTAACATTAACGAAGTTTGGAAGTCATTGATTCCAACTCTCAAGGATGACTTTAAGTGGTTCGACTTTAGTATAAGTAGCTGCAGATGTGATGGAAAGAGCAAAAGAACTAGAACCCAGTAGTAAGGTTGAAGAAGTTACTAAATTATAGCAATCATGATAAAACTTCAATAGATAAGGAGTTGTTCCTTATGGATGAGCCCAGAAAGTATTTTTTGATATGGAAACCTACTCCTGGTGAATACTCTGGACACTGTTGAAATGACAACGAAGAATGTGTTCATGAATGTGTTCATAAAACAGCAGCAGGATCTGAGAGGACTGACTTCAATTTTTAAAGAACTTCTGCTGTGGATAAAATGCTATCTAACAACACTGCATGCTACAGAAACATCTTTTATGAAAGGAAGTGTCAGGAAATGCAGCAAACTTTATCACTGTCTTATTTTTAGAAATTGCCATGGCTATCCAAACCCCACCAACCACTACCTGAGCAGTCAGTGGCCATCAACATCAAGGCAAGACCCTCCACTCTCAGTACTTTTTAGTAATAAAATATTTTTTAAGCAAGATATGTACTATTTTTTTTTTAGAGAATTCTACTGCACCATTAACAGAATACAGTAGAAATATAACTTTTAAATGCACTAGGAAACCAAAAAAAATTCACGTGACTCACTTTATATTTACTTTATCCACAGTATCTCCAATGGTGTCTATACTATGGAGGGGCTGAATCAGAAGGTTTTCCAAGACACTTCTAAGCCTTATAAAATTCTGGCTCTCTAACTTTAAACAACATATTAAAAACTTTTAATAAGCCAAATGTCACTATCTTATTAAAACTAATGAGACCACAAAAGGCAGTGATGATATCTGATTAGTGTAGCAATGTCTTACTTGAATTGCATGTTGAACCAACTGGACTCTCCCATCTTTGAGGTGAATCAAACTCACCCCCATCTTCTTCAGGATTTCTAAATGCTCAGGGTTAGTGGCCATGAAATCTCTGGCTCTCAGAGGGGGTTTAGCTCCACTCCTCAAACTCTCCTCTCTGCTAAAAGTAATTATAGGCAAGGCTTAAAAACTACGAATCAGAATTGGTGAAAAACATTAGCCAAATAAAATATTAGATATCTACAAATTTGTTAATTTTAGAAGTAGAACAGGAATAATTGGAAACATTTTTCTTTCTATATATACTTTAGGTTTTAAACACGTAGTATAGACTTAAATATAATACTCGACACTTAACAAAAGCAATTACTAATACTGTAAGCCAGTATTAGTCAACAGCATTATAACTATGCAAAATAATTTGGCTTGAGGATTTATAATATTGATTTCTGGCTCAAAAAACACAGAATTTTCTCCAAATACTTTAACAGCAAAACAATACTTATATGAATGAATAGCAATCCTCATTAAACTTATGTTCTAGTAATGGTCTTTTTGATGTCACTATTTGAAAGAAAATGAACTCATTAAGCCCAAAATTTTATTTCACAACCAAGATTAAATAGCTCATCAAAAAAAAAAAAAAAAGCCAAAATTTAGATATTACAGCAAATAAGTTTTGCTCTCTAATTTAATTTTAATCAATGACAACAAACACCTCAAAATTTTTGGCCTAAGTGAAGGTCTTCTTAGATGTAAAGTTATTTATACCCTGTCATTTACCAAGAATTAGCTTACTCATATTAATAAATATAAAATAATACATCTTACACTCTGATGATGCCTCTGGGACAGCTCTTATCCACCACATTTTTCAAGGGTTCACGAATACTCTGAGCATACAGTGGGTCATTAGGGAAGAGAATCTGAGTATTCGGACAAGTCCAATCAAAATTACTGTCATCCAGTTCTGTATATTCTGAAGTCTATAATATAAAAGAATGTCATGGTAATAAAAATAATTAGTTTACATAACAATATAGTTTATTCAAAGGAAACATTTACTGATATACAAGTATATATAGGATACAATAAAACAAAACATCAACTATTCTACCTACCATACCTATATTTATTGACTTTGAGTTGTGGACTACTTTTGACTTGGAAAAGTGAAACAAGCAAAAAAAAGACTGAGATATTTAATCCAAAAATATAACCTACTGTGTTCTTCTTTGAGATGCTTTGATTTGTAGTAGAGAGCCAAAGAGGTAACAAATGGGCTTCTGTTGTAAAGATGTAATCTTCTATATCAAAAATAATGTCCTCTTTATCCGCAAATAATAGATAAAGATATTTAAACATTTCCGCCAAGAAGAAAGAATCCATTCTGAAATAAAAAGTCACAAATAAAATTAAGGATATAAAAATATTCAGATTCAACTATGAGTGATAAACAAGAAAGCTCTGAGAGTAAGGGAAATCTTTAACAAAAAGTTTTATAGGTGGGAAAAAACACAACATAAAGTCATGGACTATGGTTATAACTTTGTAAACATACACACTGTCAACAAGTGAACATGAAGAAAGCAAACATTGTACAAAAACAATGATTTTATATATATATATAAATTTAAAAAGGGAGTGTGAATAAAGGATAAAATACATGTAACTTTACAAATAATTGAATGTTACAATTCTTTAATAAGCAGGTTAAAGAGAAACTTTAATAAAAACAAAAGTGGCAGAAAAAGAACAAAGCTGTTTGATGGAATTACAGTGGTATGAAATTTAACTACATTTACTACATCCTAAGGGTGCATAATTGCAACCTTTGACCAAGCACAATTCCTGGCACACAGTAGGCATACACTAAATATTTACAAATCAAATGCAAGTTTAAACAGCTTTGGTGAAAAATGACCTGAAGAGGTAGTAGCATGCATCACTATTTTTCCTGCATCATAAATGATATTTTACTTCAGAACAAAAACATCTTTAATTCTCAACATTTCTTTGAACATTTAGGATGTTAACCATTTTATAACAGATAAACCACTCCCTGTCAATCTGCAATACAGCCATGATAATGTAACATTTCATAGAGGACTGACAGTTACTATCATGAGTAAATGCTAGCTAAAGAATGTAGACTTATAGCAGGATATAGTGATTTTCAGCAAATTCTAAAATTGATTATGAAACAGGTGATTGTAAACACTTAAACAGAACATAGGTGTGGTAAGATCACTGTAGTAAGAGTTGGGCAAAACTTACTTTCATTATCATGTAACATAATTTGAATTAAAAAACTAAAACATACATCGCTGCAAATGCAAATATTAAAAATGTCTGGAAAACTGTTTATCAAATTGTCAATAATAGTTATCTTCAGGTGGGAAAGAAGGGAAAGGAAAGACTTTCATATTCTTTTGGCCATTTAAATTCTTTTCACTGATGACCTATTATTAGGAAAACACAGGTATTTCCATTTTGACACAAGATGTACCAGATGACAGCACTGCTGGATCCGTGGGGAAACGAGCAGTCACATGTGGAGGACCTGTAACTGAAGGCTCTCAGATGGCATGCCATGAGGCTTATGTTATGGTTATATGTAAACTTCTTCCCAACAATTTTGGTGAAAATTTTAAAGGTGTGTTTATCTAATCTGTTGATCACTGAAAGCAGGTAGCTCAACAATACATTAGATCACTGATGTGAGATTTCAGCAATTTTTTGGCATAGAAATATTCAATAAATGAAATTTTGATGGATTAAATTCTAAGTTTATACCATAAGAAAACAAAACCAAAGTCATGCAGATGGAGAATTTGTGTGCAGGTCAAGTATGTATTTATGTATGTGAGGTCAATTAGCCACATGTTCATTGTGAGTTGAATATAATAAAGCTGCTAAAAAAATATGAAGCACATATAAAGATACAGTATGATGGTACTGAGCCAGTGTATCCAAGGGGTACACACTGCTGTGATGAGAAACAGTGATCCTCAACTGGAGAGAGGGTGGAAGTCAAACAGCCCCTCAGAACATGAACAATCTCATACCTGAGACTGTCAGTGATCTCCTGAGCCTTATAAATTAATAACAGAATAGGAAACACAGACAAACCAAAATATTGCTTTTGTAGAGCTCTTGACTGAATATGAATCACAATCCAGATCATCCCTTAATCATTTTAAATGTTTTACATAATATAAAAAAAAAAGAAAAAAATCTAACATCCTCATACTTCTAATACCAAGGTTTTCATAGCTAGCAATCATTTATGTATCTATTTAAAAAGCCCTTGAACACCAAGTATATTAAGCCAGGCACTATGATATATATAAGAACTTTTCAAACAATTTTAAATGAACTTAATTCAAGACAGTTTAAAACAGTACACAAATGAACAAGGTTTACATGTTCAAATACTCTTTGAAAAAACGTATGTTCATCTGGATTCTTAACTAATAACTGCATTTCTATTGTTTCAGAGTTATCTGAGGAAAAGGGGATGTTAAGGATTAATGTACCTGTCCTCATGACTTCCAGTACGAACATCCTTCATCGCAGCAAATCCACAAGGCACTCTTGCATATTTATTTAGATTTTCAATAAGTGTTTTCCCTACCTCAAGGTAATAAGGATCTCCTGTAGCCTGTTGGTAAGGAGAATATATGTACACATTATATAACTTACATTTCACCATAATACCCACTTGTTTATCAAATATTTACTGAGTACCCACTAGGTGCCAGACAATGAATCAGACACTGGTATGCATGGTTCACAGATTCTAGTTCTAAAAATAAGTCATAATCTACTTTCATAAAATTTCCTAAACAGAGAAAAAGCTGTCCAACTGAGTGTGCTAACCTTTATGACTAAGTAAAGGAAAGAGAGACAGGACAAGAAAGCAGTTCTAGAATATAAATTTTCTCTTTATTATATATATATTTTGAAAAAGCATACACATGTTTCAATAACCTTAGGGACTAAATGAACAAAAGGTGTGATATAACCAATGATTACAACATTATACAATGATTTTGAAGACCCAAGTACTATTCTGACATAGTGAAATACCCAAAGAGAATGGAAGTTAAAGCAAAGGAGAAGTAAATTAGCTTACTTTATACAGGAAGTAGGTACTTTCTGCAAATTCTGGCCTTAAAGGATGCTGAGCCCAATGTACCCTGAAATCTGTGGTAAATGCCTAAATAAAGCATTAAAGAGGCATTAAGCTTGTTAAAATATAATTGTACTAGGACACAGAATACATAAACTAAACCACAAAGAATAAACAGTGATCATAACAATTTCCATCTATAACATGAAAATTCTCACTGCTAAAAATCACAATTCATTTTTGCAAAGGCTGCTCTTTTTACTAAGTAGATGAAAAAAAATTTTTTTAATGATCATTTTGCTACTGCGAAGCTCAGAACAAACTATGAAACATGTCCATGATTCTACATGAGTCTTAATAGTCTACATAACTATTTTTTTTGCATTCTCTTTTTTCTCCTTAATTATTAATTCTCTATTCCTATTTCTATTGTAAGTATGCTTTCTTTTATAACAAACCCAAATCCTCTGTAGCACAAGTTAGTATTAAAAAATAAAACTAGTCACTTGAAATTTATTCAAGTCAATTTTTTTTTAAAAATATTGTAACACAATGTATTTAGCTGAAACTTCAGTTTATTCTAAATGATATGAATTTTCTATAACGCGTAGTCACCAGACGGCTAACAAAACTATACTTTCCAAAGAAATATTTTAGGAAGCATTCTAAATTGGTGGCAATCTTAGCTACCTCAGAGAGAACAGTCAACGAGTATAGAACAAGGTCATACATGAATTTGGGAATTTTAAATGGTACATTTCTGAAAAGCTAAAAAGTCTGCTACTGAAATCTTGTTGACTACTTCTTTTTAACATAGTACACAAAGCCAGGAAGAGTTATTCTCAATCCGCAGGAGGAAAGCTGGCACTCACCTGCCAGCAACATGTGTGATTAACAGAGGTACACTTTAATGTATACTGTTTTCATAAAACAGAAATGTATCTTTTATAAAATAAGGTTTAAAAAAATGTAAAGTATAAAGGTCTCTCATTTGGTGGATTTATGTAAAAGCTAGAATGAGATAATACTGCAATGGCATAGATTTTCTAGAAAAAGTTAGGAAATATTAAATAGGGGTTTCTTTACATAAAACAATAGATTTACCTTAAATTAGTCTTCTCTTACACAAGGAAAAACAAAAACATAAAATACTATAGAAACCAAAAATCAATTAAACAAGTTATTTAGGAAAACAACAAAACATACTTGAAAATGACATTTTCTATCTTTAAATTAGTAATTCACAGCATATATAAATTAGAATCCCAAGGACGACATGCTTACCTCTGGTAGAAAATTGTGTTTTTTAATCACCTGATATAACATTTCATGAGTTTCAATAGCAGGTCTAATATCCCCCTTTAAGACCTAGAAGTCAACAGTAACAACAAAATTACCTAGATGGCTACAGGTTGCTTTTATTTGTAATCACATAAACAAAAAGATGTATGCTAACACAATTTTGAAATGTGATGTCATTCTGGTGGTTGAATTGGAGAGATGACTTAATTATAATAATTTATTTTAATATTAAAAATATAGCAGATATTCTTTTTTACCTGTAAACCTGGGAAAAAAGCAAGCAAAGCATCCATCCAAGTTCGAGCATTCAGCATTGGCTTGTGGATGTGGACATCAAGAAGGAGAGGTGGCTGGCTGATGTACCGCATGATGGCATCATAGTGCTTTTTTAAAAGAGCACAATATGCATTCAGGACAGTAAATGAACAAGTATGTTCTATTAAATAATACCATGAAAAAATTAAACCTAAATTTAGATATAAGTTAATTTCTAACTATAATATTTAAATTATTTTAGATGAAAATCTTCCTCAAATATACACACTCCCTGTGTTCTTTAACCCTGATGCAGCATGTTAAATCCTGTATTTAATATGGGACCATGGGAGATTGGGACATCTCTATACTGTGGGGTTAGCCCATTGTTAGCAGGCCCTGTGTCCTAATGATGCTTTTTCAGCCTCTGATATACAGTCAGAAGTTTTCATAACCATTCCTTTTTCTCCTACATCTAGGAAATATGACCCCTTCTCAGCTAACAATATATTCTCAACACTACCTACTAATCCATCTAACCACTAAAGGTCTGCTCCCTCTGTTGTTTATGTTCATTAGAACTCTTTCTCCTCTTTTATCATCTTTCCCTAGTCAATCCTGAGCTTTTAAAACAGGCTGAATCATCAGAAACAGAGTGATAAACCAATATCTGTACTCATTCACCCCAAGAAAACATTACTATAATCTAATAAACAATATAGATAAATTTTTTAAAGTATTCAACTGATGACATTACTTTTTGCAATTCATCTATTATTTAATAACCATTATTGAGTACTTACTGTATGTTAAGGTACTGTTCTAATCATTTCAAGTACATGAGCTCATTTAATACTCCTAATAGCTCTATAAACAGTACTAGTATTATCACTTTGTGAATGAGGGGCACAAACAAATAGCATAACTTACCCCAAAATCACAACCCAATGGTACAACAAAGATTTAAATCCAGGCAGGACACAACTCCTACCACATCTATCTTAACCACCATTCTACCATCTCACAGTAAACTGATGGGTGGACAAAGAAATGGTCAAGTATTTCAAAATGAATACTGTGAATCCGCTAATTAGTTTGCTACATTTCAATTTGCTTCAATCCTCCACCTTCTTCTCCAAAATTGTCTGTGGTTCTAATCCAGACTTAAGATTTACAGCACTACTTTTGAAATAAATACTATAGTGTTTCAAAGTTTCCAAAATCTTCCACATTTTGTGTGATCAAGGAATAGGAAAAATTTCCAAAAATAGGAAATCCAAAGGAGAATGCTAATTAGTAACTCATTCCAATAAGTTGTCTTCCTTTTATAAGAGATTATGTAAAACCCCAATCTACACATTCTATTATTTACTGGCAGGTCCTGAAAACTTCTGACAAAACTGCTCTGTAAACTGACTACTGAAACATACATAACTTTTACCCTGTCTCTGACCAATGTCACCACATGGACTACTGATTAAAAAGAAAACTACTACATGTTTTAAAATAAATTTTTCAGAATGTTACTGAATTCTTATCATACTCTGGCATTCAAACTCAGTTGACTCTAAAGGCTTTACAAAATTGGATCAACTTACTGTATTAAATCTTTCCAGAAAACTGTCATCTCCAAGCAAGACATAGGCTTTCAATAAATATTCATAGTATGAATCAATCCCTGCTCCAACTCCACTATCTACAGAAAAGACATATAGATGTGATTACTTAACAAGTCTCAAAAACTCCTTATAGATACAAGGAGGGTACTAGTACACTAAAATAAAAAATTAAACATGAAATTGTTTAAAGTACAATACTTATTGAAATATTAACCTTACCATATGATAATAGTTCCTTTGTTGATAATAGTTTGTATGTAAAAACAAACCCTACTTTGCAAAACTGGAAGTCTTATATACAAATAGGAGATACCAAAATTAAGACTTTTTTAAAGCTCAGTTTCTCATGAGGAAAAGCACACTGAGTAAGCACAGAGGGCACCATTATGCATTTTTATAAAAATAATCAGACTCCCCCCCACCCAATAAAGCTAATCAGAGTTATAACATGTAAAACAAGACTATTACTTTTTGGAGGTGCCAATTCTAATTGCTGAAACTAGCACAATTGCTGACTTCTTTCTCCAAGATCACCAAAGAAGACCAAAAAAAAGAAAATAGCAAGAAGAAAATGAGAACTCTGGAAGGGAGTAGGGCTGATCGAACAGCTTGGAACAGAAAGTTAGTAAGAAAAAACTGCTGTTGCTTGGCTTTTGTCTGTTTCCTCCCACATCTGCTCGGACCTCAGATCTATGTGCTAGGCACCTGAGGGGTAAAATCAGGGTAGCTCTGAAGCCCTGAGCAAAAACTGATCAAAAGAAGTGGGAACACTTTCTCTTCTGCACCTTTTCCCCTTCAAACTCCTAAGTCTGGTGAATTATGAACTGAAGCATAATTTCAGCTACAGTCTTAGAAATCCCTATAACTAGGACACATCTCAGACCAATTAAATCCAAATGCTCCAGACATTAGAGTTTTAAAAATCTTCTTAGAAGTTTTGGGAACTGGGATCTGATCAGGGAATATGAACTTGCAGGGCAAATACATTTAAGAAGCCTGACTTTGATAAGGAAGAACTGTAGAAAGAGAATATCAGAAGAGGAAATATTACAACAAGCAAGATAATTTAAAACTAGCCTAGTAATTATATACAAAATGAATTTAAAAATCATCAAACAAAAATAGATAAAAACAATGAAAATAACGTATCAGATGGCATGTACAGCACCAAAAGAATAAAACGAAGAAAAAAATATAACGTAAGTTTGGATAGACAGAGGGTAGAAAGAAGTGATTTAGCTAATAGAAAAAGCAAAAACAGTGACACATAAAAATGAAAGGGTAAAATAGGTTAAAAAAATCAACTTTCAGCAATGAAAAACAAAATAATTTGAAATTAAAAGAGCCTACAGAATAGCAAAAGGAAAGATAGAGAAAATTTTACATCTAAAATTATAGTGACCGCTTCAGGACTCTCCTTATCTTTGACAGCTTTAATCTTCCAAAGAGAATGACTAAATCACATATAAGGATGTAAAAATCAAAATAATGTCAGATTTTTTTAAAGGATGTAAGAAGACAACAGAATTGAATTTTCAAAGACTTGCAGGAAAAGAACTTAAACAGAAAATTATATACAACCAAAATGTCACTCAAATATAAAAGTGAAATAAAATTAGTGCCATATAAGTCATCCAAAGTTACTGCAAACAGTATGGGATGAATTCTTACATAGGAGGCAACCCTAAACACATATAGCAAGCAAAATGCAAGTGACCATATACCTTAAGAAAGTTTGCTATCTTTAAAGGAGGAGGGAGGGGGGTAGCACTAACACCAGACATATTCACAGTCAATAAGAACTAAGATTTACATGATGGCAACATACTGGGGACAAGGGGGTGAGAAAATGAGGGTGGGGGAGAAAAAAGGCTTAAAGAGCATGCTAACGTTCACTGCTTACCAGGAGGTAAAAACAGGTTCCAATTAAAAACAAAAGAATTAAAAAACAATTTTAAAAAAAGGATTAAAGAGAAACACAGCAAAGGTGGGACACGTTGAAATAATTGAGTATATAAATAAGCCCTAAATGTTAAACATAATAATATAAATGGCCTAAACTTACCAATTAAAAGACAAAGACTGAAAAAATGGGTTTCAATATATAAATCTGTAAGAGTTATACTTTTGGCATGAGCTCTGCAAAGATTAAAACTGAAAGGACAGAAAAAAGGCTTATCAGGCAAATTAAATAGTAAAAATAGCTGTGATAGCTGTATTGCCATCAGGTTAAATAGACTAAGACAAAGAGTATTATTAGAGATGGTCACTACATAAGGGTGAAAAGTTCAACTAAGAAAGAATGATTTTTTTAAAAATGCACCCAATAAAAAGTCAAATGCACCCAAAAAGATATACAAAGCAAAACTAGATATTAATATATCTATTATCATTGTCAGATACCTTTATCCATCTTTCTTAATTCTTGGTAGGATAAACAAGCAGAAAATCAACAAGGATCTGCATGTTAGTAACTAAGCAATTCGATACATACGGAATTCCACGACCAAAGAATTAAGAAAAATATTTTTTCTTAAGCTCTATTAAGATAATAGGAATTACAAAAGCAGAAACCAAGAATTCGTAGATAAAATATCTAAAAAGTAATTTGACATTATCTCCTGAAGCTGAACATTAACATATCCTGTGATCAAAAAACTGCATTTCTAGGTTTCTAGCAAGAGAAACTTACACCAAAGAGTACAACTGTATAGCAGGAGCAATGTGCATAAATATTCACAGCAAAATCCTGCAAACCTACCTGCCACAAATCATGCTCATTCACCCAGTAAAATATCACAAAGCAGTCAAAAAAAGAATAACCTACACCTTCAAGAAAGAAAATGATGACAAGATAAGAATGGTAGTTATTTCAATGAGAGAAAGCAGAGGTGTAGGACTGAAGAGATAGGGGAAATCAAGGAACACGTGCAGAAGTAGCAGGCTGTCAAGATGTTTTGTAATGAATGGTCCATTTACGGGTTATTGTATATCTGAGTTATTTAAAATGACTGACTAAAATGGGCCATGAATAATCAAAAATGAATGTGTCATAAGCTAAGAATTACGATTAATTCAAAATCAATTGTAATCAATTAATTTGCACATAAGTTTCAAAGTAGATTTAAAAAAAGGGGGTTAACAAAAACTGCAGGATACCCCAAATAGGGAAAGAAGTAAAACTGTCCTTATTTGCAGATGATATGTTAATTTATATGGAAAAACCTAAAAGCTCCACAAAGGAACTAATCAAAATCATCCACCAGTTTAGCAAGTAGCAGGATATAAAATCAACACACAAAAGTCAGAGGCTTTCCTATATACAACCAACCAATCAGAAGAAGCAGAGATAAAAAAAAAAACACCCCCTTTTCAATTAAAACAAAAAGAATCAAATACCTGGGAGTCAACCTAACAAAGGAAGTAAAAGACCTCTACAAAGAAAATTACAAAACGCTGTTAAAAGAAATACAAGAAGACACCATGAAATGGAAAGACATCCCCTGCTCATGGATTGGGAGAGTTGACATCATCAAAATGGCCATCCTGCCAAAAGCAATATACAGATTTAATGCCATCCCCATAAAAATCTCAATGACA